ATTCCTTCAGACGGTTTTATGCTCTTTTTATGATCCTCTCATGCACGTTGGTCTTTGTCTCCCACGTGTCTATGATGCCCTTTCAGGGAAGGGAGAAGTTCACATTTCTGAGTTTCACACCGTCAAGGAATAGTTGGCCACGTCGGGGAAGCCAAGATTCATACATAACCAGGGTCTAATAAAAACAGGATGTGTCCACAGAATGATGTAAAGGGAGACTTAGGCATGCAGGGAATGCGGAACCAGGCTGGTCAGGATGAAGGAGTGAATCAGAGCTGGGTGATCCAGAGATGTGATTAGAGAAGTGGACGAGGGGGACGGAATCCAGCCAGGAAGGCCCCGAGGTGCCCTGCAGTCTATCTTGCTGACATGGGCCGGCTCTGTGGTCACATCTACATGCACCACCCCACCCTTCCCTGTCCATCAGACTTCCTCTTGGTGGCCACACTGGGCCTGAGGAACCTCCTTCTTGCCTGAGGTCCATGGAGATCCTTTGCTCCCATTGCACATTGACGGCACTAACCGCCCTCAGGAAATTAGGTACCTAAGACACGTAGAGGGCCACTTTGAATTCCAGTGCAGAAATGACTTCCAGACAAGGGGTGCCAAGGGATAAGAGTGAACTAACACGCCGGGGTAGTGTGGTGGCAAAGGACGGCTCCAAAGGCCCAGTCAAACCCAGCTCCAGTTTTACCTGTTGGTGAAACAAGGCATCCTCGTCCCTGGAATGTTCAAGAAATCAGAATGTGCCAGGAACGTGAGCAGCATGCTTACAGGATCTTGAAGCCCAGAGAAGAAGTGAAAGCCAACAAATTGGGCCGGCGTGAGTGACAGGGCTGGAGTGGAAACAGGCAGATCTGGCCTGAAAGGGACAACTGGGACTGGCAGCCACCCTCTTGGCAACCTGCCAATCCCCTGCCCGGGCACTTCATGCCAACACTCTGCCAAACCACCGAGGGAAGCTAAAGAGAAGACCCAAGCATTCCTCCCTCAGGGAGCTTGCTTTATATCAAAATTAACGGCTTAGGCTGTCTGGGCTCCCGTCCTGGTGTTGCCACCCTCCAAGAGTGGCGGACACTTGGTGAGAGCCTAAGAATTCCCAACCTAGGACAGATGCTGTTTCAAGCAAACCTCACAACAACCCCGAAGGATGGGAATCCTGATCTGTTTTACTGATGTCTGGTACAGTGCCTGCCTAGCAGGCCCGAGACCCTGGGTTGAGGCATAGAATAAAGAAACAAAGAGAAAACTGAGGCGCGAAAAGCTAAGTTTTGCCTTGAGACACAGAGTCACTGAGGGTCACATCCCTGCCTGTAGGCTGGGTCCAATTCCATGGTCACCATTCTTCCATTTGTGGTATTGTCACTGTGCGGCCTCTCTGAACCCCAGGACTGGGTAAGATGGTTCCTCCTGGGTTAGATGGAACTTTATGAATTGGAGGAAAAGGTGACAAGCAAGGGCTACACAGAGGAACAGCGCGGGTTTGAGTGCTGTAAGAGTTTAAGGAGCCGGACGCGGTGGCGCATGCCTGGAATCCCAGCAGCTCGGGAGGCTGAGGCAGGAGGATCGCCAGTTCAAAGCCAGCCTCAGCAACTTAGCCAGGCCCTAAGCAACTCAGTGAGACCTTGTCTCTAATAAAATATAAAAAAGGGCTGGGGATGTGGCTCAGTGGTCAAGCACCCCTGGATTCAATCTGGGGGTGCCAAAGAAAGAAAGAATTTAGGGAGTAGGTTGAAGAGAGGCTGGAGAGGGCAGAAAGAACGGGTGCTACTGAGACGGGCAAGTCAGGAACTAGTTTGGGGAGGGGGCGTGGGACCAGCCAACACTGCTGCATGCTGGGCTCTTCCAGCCAGGATCCTCAATGAACAGAAGCTCACTCCTAGAGAGGGACAGAGGGAGCCAAGCCCAAACACAGGCTATTTTGGGAGTTGTGTTGTTTGGAGAGCCACCAGTCCAGAAATAGCGCCATGAGTTAGCAGGACCTTGCCCTTCTCCCACCCCCAGCTCTCCCACTGAAATCAGCAACCATCAGGGCCCGGGCCCAGCATTCCAGGGAGTCTGTGTAACTGGGGGAGGCAGAGCTCTCTTCCCACAGGAAGGGCTCCTGAGAGCAGTGTTTGCCTGTAAAAGGGATTCTGGAAGGTGGAGGAGAGAGAAAGAGAGATTGAGTCAGAGAGCAGAAGGGAGGAGGTGGGAGCCTGGGAGAGATCACATGCAGGGAGAGGAGAGGAGACAGGGACAAAGGGAAAGTGAGAGAGAGGGAGTGAGCGGGAGGCTGGTGTGAGAGAGCAAGAGAGCAGAAAAGAGGGCAAGAGGGCAGCGGTGAAGGGGTGAAGGGGTGAAGGGGCGCCAGGAGGATGGTGATCTGGGCCCAGAGGAGTCAGGGCCTACGTGAGGGTGGGAGATGGTGGCGGAAAATGTGACACTGGCCTGGTCACGAACCACCTGCTGCGGGTCAGATAGCGCTCTCTTTCCCAATTAGTTCTGGAACTCCCCCAGAAATTCACGGCCCTGTCATTGAGTCTCTTATCTCCAACCCTCCGGAAATCAGAGATCCACTTATTTCAACAGCAGGGACTTTTCTGTCTCTCTCTGTCCATTTGACCCCTTACAAAACAGCCAGAGCTTGAGAGATTGGGTCAGAGTTGTTTGGGGTTCAGGATAAAAAGCAAAAGTGACAACACAGTGAGTCGGGCTAGATTCCCAGAAGGGTGTTGTGGGGAGGCTTTGGGGCAGCAGCCCCCCAGCAGCCTGCAGGAAACTGCACCCTGCGCACGGAAGGCCAGCTCTTCTACCCCGCCAAGGGTTGACAAGGCCATGTGCGTGTAGAGGACAGGCAGGGACCAAGGTCAAGTCTGGGTTCTGGACCATCAGCCCAGCTGACCAGGGGTCAAAGGAGAAGTCAGCAAACCAACATGGCGCCCCGCCCGCCCGGTCTCGCCTTAGTTCCTAACATTCACCTACAGATGCCTACAGATTCCCTCCAGTTTGGGAAAAGTCTCCCTGTGAGTCAATCTTTTTTCCAAAGGATGATGTACACCACCACCCCTCCCCAGTCAGGACATAGAGCTGCTCCCCGACTCTCCTGTGCCACAGAACAGAGTGTCTTTTCTGGAATGGCATGAGGTCCATGACGGGGGTGGAACTGGCCTCTGCCTGGCCAGGCACAGGCCATCGCCATCCACAGATCACAGCAGAGGCCTTCATGGTTGAGCCAGGCAGGTTGTGGCAATGACTCAAGGGAAGGGAAGGAGTCTCCACTAAGGGGATCAAGAGGCTGGGCCAGGGCACCTGAAGGGTCCACTTCTAAAAATGACCACATTCACTGTTTTCTGAATCCTTGGGGCTTGGCACTCCCAACCCAGACTCTCGGGATTCCCCTCTGATCCCTAAGGATGGCGGGTAGGAGGTGGGGCTGGAGAAGGGCTTTGGTCTCCTCCCTTGGAGAGGTCAGGGGCACTGCCTCTCTCTCACCACTAACCACCCTCTGAGGTCCTTCAAACCACAACTGAGAAAAGGAAAAAGACATAAACAAGAGACAGATGCACAGGAACAGTTCTCTCTTGTGTCTGTGATCCTAACTTTCCGACTGAGGTTTCCCTCATTCCCTGCCCCCACCCCCACCCGACTCCAAGAACCGACGGAGGAAACAAAAGTGGAGGCAAAGTCAAGATGGGAAAGCCACTCAGCTGCGGTTGCCCTTGGCATCTGTTTACAGAAAAATCCATAACAAATATCCTGATGCTACCACCCACTTAAACTTCCTGTGACTCTGCCATCAGCTGTCTCTATGGAGACCGCCTGTTGAAACCCGTCCCCTACAAGGAGCATGACAGTGCATGGACCCTGAAGCAGACAGCTCCATTTTTCTCCCTGCAGGAAGCCTCCGGCCTTCCCCTGTGGCCCCTCCACCCTCAGCATCCAGGCTACATGGCTTAGGGCTCCTGATCCTCCAAACTCCCCCAACGCCCTCCCCTGGTCCTTTAGGCTCACACTAGCCAACGCCCACCCTTGAAGAACTCAGCGTCACTCTTTCTCCTTTAAGCCCAAGGCCCTAAAAGCACATCCCGCAAACCCACCATGAACTGACACTCTGCTTTCTCCTGTCCCTCCTCCTGTAGCTCCAGCCTTCAGTGTCATGGGTGAAGGAGGAGAAGGCGCTGCCCCTCCCAGCCACCAAAGGCAACTCAAAGAAATGAAAGGTCCATTCTTGCCAAAGCTTGACCCTGGTAATCCCTGGTTACCACTTCTACCCACCTCTACCCCACCCAGCACTCCTCAAACTCCAGTCAGAGTGCTGTTGGCACAAGGAGAGTCCTCGAGGGCACCAAGAGAGTCTGGACACATGGAAGGACTCAACTGTGCATCATCAGGAGCTGGGCGGGCACATGGTGGGGACGAGGCAGGGACCCGCAGTCCTCTGTGGAGGCCCAGTACAGAACAGTCAGAACCCAGACAACCTCCTGGCACACCACATGCCTGCGGCCACTGGGCTGAGACCCAGAGGAGGGAGGAGCTTAGCCAGGAGCTTAGCCAGGGTGCTGGGTAGAGCACACTGGCAGAGAGAAGTGCACAAAGTCCATTGGGTTCTTGGATCCTCCACGGCTACCTGTTTCTCCAGCGGGAAGGGAGTACATGGGCTGCTTCTGCCCAAGCTGAGCGCCAGGGAAGGTGATCCTGAACCTTGGTCATCATGGACCATCTGGCACAGCCAGGGGTCAAGCTGACCAAAGAGAGAGGAACACAGGCATCAGGGTGGTCAGATCAAGGGAGGCCCTGGGACTCGGGCAATCAGGACTTGCTCAATTGTTCCCAAGCCCTCTCTTACACACGTACACATACAGTGACATGCACACACGCCTCAGCAAGCCCTGGAGAGGGAGGTGCAAGGGGGGCCTGGCTGGCGGTTCAGACGAACTTCCAGAGCCAGAAAGTGGGTGGGGCTGGAACATGAGTTCATCTATTTCCTGCCCGCATCTGGTATAAAGGGAAGCAGTGGCCCAGGAGGAGCACAGCTGTGGCTGGTTGCAAGGCCAAGAGCGCTGTCAAGAAGGAAGGCCACACCCCCTCCTCCAGCAGTGGCTAGACAGCTGCAGCTCCTGCCGGACAAACGGCCAGTCACAAGGCTCCTCTGAGAACTTCAGGTAGGAGAAAAGCAAATTCCCTCACCTCTCACCCGGGGGCTTTCTCCATCCTCGATCCCCACTTTTCCTCTGTATTCTTTCCCCAGACCCCTGTAGCTCTGAGCCAATCCTGCCTTGGCACCTTGGCTTGGCAGCAGGAGAGTGCTGAGGGTAATCAGGCCCCACCAACAACCCTGTCACCCAGAAACAAGGACCTTACTCTGTCCCTCTCCTGCAAGGTGCTTGCTGCTTCCTTACCTAAGGAGAGGGGGGGTTTTCATGCTGCTAACTCAAATGAAGCTGTAGTTGGGGACATGCGATAAGAGAATTAGAAAACGTTGCACAGTTCAAAGATGTCATTGTAATTTAGCCTTTCAGCCCCTTGGAGGGGTTGGGAGACCCACTGGTATTTTGCAAGATTCTCACAGGTAAAAAATAGGATTAAGCCAGGGGCAGTGGTGCACGCCTGTAATCCCAGTGGCTTGAGAGGCTGAGGCAGGAGGATCGAGAGTTCAAGTCCAGTCTCAGCAATTTATTAAGGCCCTAAGTAACTCAGCAAGACCCTGACTCTAAATTTAAAAAATATATAAAGGGCTGGGAATGTGGCTCATTGGTTAAGTGTCAGTTCCCGATACAAAAAAAAAAAAAAAAAATTGCTTAAGTCTCCCCAGGGCTGACCAGTGAAAAGAATCAGATGGAGGCCAAGTTTGACAGGCTCAGCACTGTTTGTGACCCTTTAATGAATCAGAAGCTGTCCTGTTCATCTATCCCCAGGTGGCACCAAGAAAGAGGAGGCTGGCCCACAGCTGTCCACTCAGCCATCCTCTAGAACATTCCCTCATATGACCCTCTTCCATTTGCTCTAGGATGCAGCTGTCTCCAGTCTTTGCCTGCCTGGCACTGGGCCTGGCCCTCCTCTTTGTTGAAGGGTCCACCCTGCACCGGCATGAGTACCAGGCCGCCCATCTGGCCACAGACTTCGGAGTGAAGGTGTTTCAGCAGGTGGCCCGGGCCTCCAAGGACCGCAATGTGGTTTTCTCGCCCTACGGGGTGGCCTCAGTGCTGGCCATGCTGCAGGCAACCACTGGAGGAGAGACCCAGAAGCAGATTCAAGCAGCGATGGGATTCAACATTAATGGTGAGAGACAGGACAGAGTGGGAGGCGGGGAGTCAGGTGGGCTTCCTAGAGTAGAGGCCGAACCTAGCAGAAGCTGGGGACAGGCTGGCTCCAGCCCAGCCAGGTCCACCCTTGTGCAATAGAGGGACTTCCCCGTCTTCTTCCCACATACCTTATACCACTGGGCCCTTGACTTGCCCTTGACTGGCCCTTGACCAGTGGAACTGACCCTTATTAACTGTGGCTCCTTAATTCCTCTAAACCATGAATTCCTCCTCTACAGAATGAGAGTACTAAAAAGGCCTAATACACAGGGCTATGTCAATATTAAACAGAATCATCTGAACTATTTGGCATAAACATTATTATAAAAATTAGTGTTTGTAACTTAAGAAAAGAGAAAAACATTCTAAACCAAAGAAAGGGGTAGGACCAAGACTTATAAGAAAAGAAGGGAGTTGTCAAGATTATGGTTTGGAATGAAATCTCCCTCCAGAGACCTCTGAGGGGGCAGAAGAACCATGTGCATCCAAGCAGAGTCTGGCCTTCCTGGGGAAGGCTGGCCATCTGGGAGTCCTTGGCCCAACATGAATGTAACATGCACTGTCCTTGCCTCGGCACAGAGAAGGGCATGGCCCTGGCCCTCCGCCAGCTGTACAAGGAGCTCATAGGACCATGGAACAAGGATGAGATCAGCAGCACAGACGCCATCTTTGTCCAGCGGGATGTGAAGCTGGTCCAGGGCTTCATGCCCCACTTCTTCAGGCTGTTCCGGAGCACAGTCAAGCAGGTGGACTTCTCAGAGGTGGACAGAGCCAGACTCATCATCAATGACTGGGTGAAGAGACACACAAAAGGTGAGCAGGCAGGGAAAAGGAGCCATGACACCAGGGGTCTCCCCTCAGCACGCTCTTCCCTGGAGACACAGGTGCTTTAGTACAGGGCTCAATAGCTAATATTTTCCTTAATTAGACTTTCTCAAGAACCAACACCAAAGGCATCCCTCTAAAGTATGAGATTTAGTAAGAGCAGCACTAACATTGGTACACACAATGCCCAGATGTTAGTATTGGGGCAATGGACAGGGTCAAGTTTCCAACCCTGATCCTGAACAGAATCCTAGCATCAGGAAAGCGTGGTGAGAAAAGACTTCCTGGGACTCCGGAAGATGGAACAAATTGGAAGCAGTTAGAATGATCCACTCACCCCATTCCACCCCACCCTCTAACTGAATCCCCTCAATGGACATCCCTTTGACGACTGGCTGTCCACAGGTATGATTGGTGACTTACTTGGCAAGGAGGCTGTGGACCAGCTGACACGTCTGGTGCTGGTGAACGCCCTCTACTTCAATGGCCAGTGGAAGACGCCCTTCCCAGAGTTGGCCACCCACCGCCGCCTCTTCCACAAGTCTGATGGCAGCACTGTCTTCGTGCCCATGATGTCTCAGACCAACAAGTTTAACTACAGTAAGTACAAGACCCCCCTTCTCAATCTCACAACGAGGGCCCCTCTTCCCCAGGATCTCCCAGAGAACATCCAAAATGTCGCCTTCTTGGGGAGAAGGATCATAGGGAGCATTTCCGTTTAACCTTAGTATTCACCCCAATTTTGACAAATATTCCCACTTGGATAATGAGAGGAGAAGAAAGGAATTTTTTTTTCTCATGCCAGATGAAGCCAAAATCTAGAAATTCTCTCAGGCCCACATCTGGTCAACCACCTGACCCCAATTCTCCACTTCAGGGTGTGTGGCATGATTATATAGGGCTGATTATATAGGGCTGGGAGGAGGGCTACATGGGACTTGGGATTAAAAGGATGAGGATTGGAATGAAATAGTGACAGGGTTTTGGGAGGAGGGCAGAGAAGGTCAAGAAGGTCAAAAAGGAGAGAAACCAGATTACATTGAATTGGCAGAAGAATAGGGAAATGGAAATCAAACCACTGAATAGGGCCTAGGGCTCTATACCAAGGGCCCGAGAGTGGTGGCCTAGTGTGCAGGAGGCCTTGGGTTCCCTCTACAGTGCTGCAAAAACAAGCAAATGCCACTCAAAACATGGACTGTGGACTGGGATGTGGACTATGGTAGAGCACTCACCAAACCTGTGTGAGGTCCTGGGTTCAATGCCCCAGCATTAGGGGCCAGGGGGACAACAAATAAACAAACACTGAATGGGGACAGTGGGAAGGCAAGCCTCAAAAGTGGAAATGGAAGCTGAGCATGGTGGGGCATACCTATAATCCCAGCAATTCAGCCCAGGCAACTTAGTGAGACCCTGTCTTAAAATTTAAAAAAAGCAAAAAAGGGCCAGAAATGTGGCTCAGTGGTAGAGAGACTCTAATACCAAACAAATAATCTGGAATGGCACTTGGCTTCCAGAAAGAGTAGAGAAGACAGGAGAAATAGCTGAAAACCCAGGGCTGGGATATTTTAATAAGGGCTGGAGCCATTTCCAACCCGCCATCTTGGTTATCTTCACAGCTGAGTTCACCACCCCTGATGGCCACTACTATGACATCTTGGAATTGCCCTACCATGGGGAGACCCTCAGCATGTTCATCGCAGCTCCCTATGAGAAAGATGTGCCCCTTTCTGCCCTCACCAATATTCTGGATGCTGAGCTCATCAGCCAGTGGAAAGGCAACATGACCAGGCTGCCCCGCCTCCTAGTTCTGCCCAAGTAAGCTATTCTAGGCTCTCACCATGCTTGCCAATGTCTTGATCTTCCCTGTCTCCCAGTTCCCTGAAATTACTGCCCCCGGGTTGAGTTTCCCATATCTCTGATGCCTGCCAAGTGGGGGCATGTGTGGGAGGCTGGAGGGAAGTGCTCTGGCCTGGGCTCCATTATGATCCCTTGAATCATCCCTCTGTTTATCTCCTCTGGAGGGAAATTTCCAGACTATGCCCCCATACTGACCACCCCCAGAAATACCCAGTGACAGCCAGCCAAAGGGAGAGCTGGAAAAACGATGTGGGGGAGGGATGCTGAATGGGTCTACATGCAGGAGAGCAGGAAGGACCAGTACTCCCACCCCCCACCTCCTTGAATCAACATCCTAACAGTGGAACAAAAGGAATCATTTCAAGATGGGGCAGCCTGAGCTATGGCTTCTGGCTGGAGTTTAAGGAGAGCAGATTTTCTCAATCCTTCTACAAAGCAAAGGGGGTGGAGATGGCTGAGGCTGGGTAATTCCAGAATTGCTGGGACACTCCTACAGGCTTATTCCCAACTTCCAGATGCTAAAATGACAGCCTTGGGGAAAGAGGAGAATTTAGCTGGGTAGCTGGTTCTGTTTCTCTCACACACCACACACAAAAAAATCGAGGTGATTAGTTGTGCCCTGGTGGGAAGCAGAGTGCCCCCAAACCTCACTGCTTGAGTCCTCTTCAGGGTTAGCTCTCTGAAACACAATCTACAGACCAGATTTTTATTCAAACATCCTGGCAGGAGAATTCGCCCTTGGCCCCCTAGTCAGATTGAATAAAATTATGCTTAAAATACTACCTTATTTGAGGAAAGTAATTAGTCACAGATTCAAGGGGGTGAGGAGATTGAAGAAGAATGTTCATTAATATTAGAAACCACCAGCAAAGAGAGAGGCTTTGCAAACAGATTTGAAAAAAAAAAACAGTCCTCTTCCATGTTCCCATGACTTCCTACCCTGTTGCTCTGCCCCCGTTGCACCTGATGGGGGACAGGGAGAGGCAGATGCTGCCAGTAACAGGAAGCAGGGCTTGAGCTGTCTCCCCTCTCCCTGCTGCCTGCAGGTTCTCCCTGGAAACTGAAGTTGACCTCAGGAAGCCCCTGGAGAACTTGGGGATGACTGACATGTTCAGCCCCGTCCAGGCGGACTTCACGAGTCTCTCAGGTGAGAGGTTTTCCTGCTTACTTATCCCCATGGGTCATGGGCCCCTGTAGAGGATAAAGGAGCTGCTCTGAGACCAGTGGCTGATCCACCTTGTATTCCTCTCTGTTTCAGTCCAAGAGCTTCTCTATGTATCACAAGCGCTGCAAAAAGTCAAGATCGAGGTGAACGAGAGTGGCACGGTAGCATCCTCCTCCACGGGTGAGTCTGGCAGGAGAGGCTCCACCAGTCTCAGCCCAGCCCAAGGGTACTAGGAGGGCCACCAGCCAATGCCTCACTCACCCTGCAGAATAACTAGTCCTAGACCCCAAATGGACCCCCCTTCCCAGTTCCATGTGGGCCTCTCTGTTCAGAGCACACTTCCTGTGCTGGGGACAGTGGCCCTGTCATGACACTCCCCCACGCGTTTCTCAACCTGGAAAGGGGCCCACTTTCCCTGGGACTCCTAAGGCCCCTGAATGTGGAAAAGTCCTCCAAATGAAAGCCCAGGTTGGTCTCACAGTGTGACCTAAATGTAAGGAGCTTGCTGATCAGTAAGCCCTAAAAGTGTTTGAGAGAACACTTGAAAGATGTCAGTCCAACCTCTGGAAGAAACCAGTTCTCAGAAGACATCCCCCAACCCCCAAGACCCATATTCAGAGAGGCAAAGTCACCTCCGAGTGCTGCTGTCAGATGGAAGGCCGGTGATACCAGAGTCCCTGGGGATCCATTCAGGCACTGGTACAGAGGTCCCTCTGTCCTAAGACATTGTCCCTTCTCTCCTAGCCATCCTGGTCTCAGCCCGCATGGCACCTGAGGAGATTGTCATGGACCGACCCTTCCTCTTTGTGGTTCGACACAACCCCACAGGTGAGCACGAAACTCCACAGTGTCCCCTGTCCTCCCAACATCCTTGCCTGGGGTACTCCAGCCCATGCAGAAGTAGACGCCCCTCCACCGCCCCTCACCAAGGACTCTGGGCAAGGAATATAGAACTTGGTTCCACTCCCCCACCCCCTTGGTGGAGATGATGCTCCGGGGTAGACCACACAGTCCTAACTCAGTCATCTAAGTACCTGTGACCCCAGACAGTCACCTACCTGCTCAGGTCTCAGTTGATCTGTAAATTTCAGGCTTCCTGTTCTCAACTTCCACTTCCTGTTCTTCCCCCCCCCCCCCAGGGGCAGTGCTTTTCATGGGCCAAGTGATGGAGCCCTAACCAGAGGAAAAGAAGCTCTCATCAGGGACCAAAACTGGAGATGTGTCATGAAGGGAAGAAGCAAACTCCGGAGAAAGGAATTTTTGTTGTGATGACTCTTTCTGGGGAGAGAGAAGGCATTTGTATCTTTTTCCCCAATGGTAAATTCTTTCCAGTCGACTCTATGACCTCAGCCTCTTTCGGAGGTGGGAGGATCTTGCAGGGTAACTGCCCAGCTAGAGAGCCCACCGTGAGAGACCCCTGAACACAAAGGTCTCCAAGCCAGACCGGAAAACCTGCGGAAGGAATGGCGGGCACAGCTGCCTCTGCCCATCTCCCTGCCTGCTCGGCCTTTGGACCTGCTTCCCACGGAGGCCCTGGCAGAATGGAACCACAGGGCCTGCAGGAGCTTCTGTGTGCTTGCTAGAGACCGTTTGTGTTCCAGTCACGCTGCTGTCACTCTTGCGCTGTCTGCCACCCCTGCCGAGGCTGGCGACAGGCCAGAGAAGGCCATGGAAGAAACGCTCTTTCATCTCAAAGTCCACTCTAGCTGCAGATGGGCGGACCCAATGCTCACCCCGTGCCCAGCCTCCCTGCCCCCGCCCACCCCAGAAGCATCCCACATATATTATTTTGGAGTGTAGGTGACTTGTTTACTTATAGAAGCAGATTTTTGCTTCCCATAAACTTTATTTTTGTAGGAATTGAGGAAGAAAGGTCAGATGTGTGCCTGGCCCCCCACCCCAGATCTCCTGGCGGGGAGGGGGAGGCCAGGGGTGTGTTTGAGTATTTATCTCAGCCTTGCCCTGTGTGCGTGTTAGAGAGGGTGAGGGCTGTTAAGGGGAAAGTGTTATTTAAACTTGCTCAGAATGTTCCTTCGTGGGCTGTGTCATGCAAGCACCTCAGAGCCTGGCACTCCACCCTCATCCCCCGATGGGCGCAAGCGAGGTGGTGCACACACTGCCACCTTGTGGCTGCTTGACCCCACAGCACCTCTCTTTCCACCTGATGGATTTAGGGCCCCTGCCAAGGTGGTCAAATTGCAGCCCTCATTAGACACCAAAAGGATGGTGTGGGTGAGAGAGGCCTGAGGGAGGACAGGATGGTTTCAGATTTTTCCAATATATTTAGGAGCAGAGATGCAAGGGGCTGAATGACCTACCAGGACAGAACTTTCCCCAATTACAGGGTGACTCACAGCCGCAGTGGTGACTCACTTCAATGTGTCATTTCCGGCTGCTATGTGTGAGCAGTGGACACGTGAGGGGGGGGCGGATGGAGGAGACAGCTAGCTCGGACTCAGCCACCCCACTTAATTCATCTTTTTGAAAACCGACCAGCTGGGGTACCGCACCAAGACCTGCTTACTGCAGAACTGCGCGTAGATGCAAAATGAGTGTCATCTCATGGAAGCTGAGTCACCCTGACATCCTCTCTCCCGAAATAGCCTCATTCACTGTTTTTTGTTTGTTTGTTGTTTGTTTCTGAATTCATTATGCACTGGACAGTGACAGCCACACATGGTTACCATAGGAGTCCCCAAATGTGGGGCTGAATGTTCTCGAAGTTGTGTTGACTTATATGCTTTTTCACTTTTGATATATAAATGAGAAAAAAAATTATTTAAAAAATAAAATAAGTACAAGAATATGCCAAGACAGTCCCTGCTCTTAGCTTCTATGTTTCGCATGGTGCAAAGAATTGGGACCCTGCTGGCTGGAAGATTTCTCAGGTGGCAGGGATCTTGGTGAGATACATATTACAGGCACAGGCTTGTTGACCTGCCGTGGGTGGGTCTCCAAGATGGGTCACCCAGGTCTGCAGCAAGGCAAGACTCCAAAAGTGTGTGTGTGTGTGTGTGTGTGTGTGTGTGTGTGTGTGTGTGTGTGTGTGTGTGTGTGTGTGTGTGTGAGAGAGAGAGAGAGAGAGATTGATTCTCCCCTGGGAAACATCCTAAAAAAGGAAAGAAGGGACTGGGGCTGTAGTCAGTGACAAGCACATGCTTAGCACTTACAAGGCCCTGAGTTTAATCCCTAGCATATTCACAAAATTGCTAAAAGTCTTGGGCTGGTGGTGTAGCTCAGTGGTAGAGCACTTGCCTAGCACCCCCTGAAGCCCAGGGTTCAAACCCCGGCATCAAGAGAAAGAAAAGTGAAAGGTTCCCCAGACATTTCCCACCAGCCCAGGCGGGCCTGATTGCCCCATCCCTGCAGGTTCTCAAGTGTATTTCCTTCCACCACCAAAGGCTCCCCAGCCACCTGCCCCTGCTCCTCATCTCTCCAGCCCAGATCAAGTCACCCTTCTTTTGCCTACGATTGCCCTTGAATCAATCCAGCCACACCACCCTGGATCCAACACTCTCTAGACAGCCTTCCTGCTGAGAACCAAAGCTCTACTCCCAGGCGATGATGCTTCCTACTCCCCAGCTGCATCTAGAAATCAGGTTCTTTGAAAACAAGGCTTTTTTGTTAGCATATTCTTAATAACCTCCTTAAAACATCTTCTCAAGAGTCTCTTATTCTTTTCCTCCAGGGGTGTGTGTGTGTGTGTGTGTGTGTGTTTTCCAATGTTGGAGATGGAACCCAGGAATCCAGGGCCTCACTGCATGCTAAGAAGGGGCTCTATCACTGAGCTATGCTCCCAGCCCTCCTGGTAGTTGAAAGCCTCTTGGCAGAGGACACACTTCCCCCAATTAGTTTCTGCTCACATATTCAAAACTATTTTTTTAACTAAAAAAAAAAAAAAAAAAAACATTAACTATCAAAATTGTGTGACACCCAACTCCAGAACTCTAAAGACAGGATTGATAGGTCCAGCCCTCTGGATGCCCAACTCATTTCTAAATAGGAACTAAGCACCTATGCGTTCTGCGTCAAAGCACTGTCTTGTGGTTAAGAGGTAGTGAGTTCTCTGTCCCTGGCAGGATTCAAGGACAGCCAGATGACTGATGGAGATGTGTCAGTGGCCAAGGTGCAGATTAAGTGACTTTTTCAAATTACAAAAATAAAAACCCAACATGCTTATAGGAAGATATACAAACGGTTTAAAAGATAGAAGTAGAAATGTAAGAGTCCCCCAGTTTGGGGTGTTCTTTTAGAGCTCTGCTAAGCATTTAGAAGCATATTAAAAATTCGTTTCTTTCACTCAAATAAAATCGTGGTACACACAGATACACAGCACACAGTGTTGTACAGCCTGCTTCATCGCCTGATGATCACTGCTAGAGGCCTCTCCCGGGTTTGCTCTGCCAGCTGCCTATATAGATGCACCATAGATGTCCTGACCCACCAAGGGTGGCTGTTGCCTGGTTTTGTCACTGGTGGTGTTGTTACCAACAGTGCTGTGGGAGATACTCTGTCACGTTTACCAGGGACTCGTGTATCTGCAGAGTGACTCCTCATGATGTGACTGTCTCCTTTAGGAAATTTCCATTCCTAAAATTGTGTGATTCTGGTGATACAAACATTCTCAAATGATGCAAAACAATCAAAAGTGGCCATTTTGCCCGATGAGAGTGTTACCTTTTCTCAAGCTTGAATAAGACTTCATGACTCCCACATAAACCTACTGCTGTGAATAAAGAGAAATTTTATTCTGTGAACAAAAAGAACCCTCACGTTATCTTTTTTTCCCTGTCTCTCTTAAATGATGTCGGGCTTCCTTGGGGCAAATTCTGATCATGATGTGTTTTAGAGTAAACCTAGCAAGGTACTCAATCATTGACTCCTCAATCATTTCAAAAGTACCAAAGGCCTCTGCCCGGCCCCACCCCTCTGAAGGGCCAGTGGGGGCATTCTTGGGCACCTCCAGCGTGGTGTGCTCAGATGTTCTAAGGCTATCTGGTTGGTGGGCACCCCTTCCTTATGGGTTCCTCCCTTTCAATTCACCTTTTTCTTTTCCCATGAGACTAATGTAGTGAGAGGGTCCCCAAAGTCTAATCAAGCTTGAAAGGGTCTTCTCCCCTAGAAAGCCAGAGGAAACCAAGGCAAGAGACAAGATGGATGGCTCATGAAAGTTCTCCCCATTTTAGAGAGAAGGCTGTCATTTATTTATTTTTATTTTTTATTTTTATATACATGACACTAGAATGTATTTTGACATATTATACATAGATGGAGTATAACTTATTCTAATTAATTCTTGGGGTTGTACATGATGAATGCACTGGTTGTGTATTCATATATGAACATCGGAAACTCATGTCTGATTCATTCTACTGTCTTTCCTATTCCCATTCCCCTCCCTTTCTTTCATTCTCTTTTGTCTAATCCACTGAATTTCTATTCTTCTTTTTCCTGCCATTTATTGTGCCATACTCTCAAATCAGAGAGAACATTTAGCCTTTGGTTTTTGGGGGGTTGTCTTATTTCCCTTAGCGTGACAGTCTCCAATTTCATCTATTTACTGGCAAAGTCCATAATTTCACTCTTCTTTATGGCTGAGCAATATTCCATTGTGTATATATACACCACATTTTTTAATCCATTCATCTGTTGAAGGGCACCTTGGTTGGTTCCATAGCTTAGTGATTGTGAATTGAGCTGCTATAAACATTGATGTGGCTGTGTCACTATTGTATGATTATAAGTCCTTTGGGTATATGCTGAGGAGTAGGATAACTGGGTCAACTGATGGTTCCATTCCAAGTTTTCTGAAGAATCAGAGAGGCTGTCTTTGAATCTCACAAGTCTACATCTTTCCTGTGCTGTCCTCACTGTGCAACTGGCAAGCTTTCTAGGGAGAAAATACAGTTATGGAACCAAAGAATCAAAGAGCCTAGAGGCACTGGGCCTACTTTGGGCTAGCTTAACCCAGAAACACAAACACTAGCCCCATCCGATTCACAAGATAGCTCCACTTTGGGATTTCTGACCATAACTTCAGCTGGTAGCAAGTATCCCTCTTCCTGCCTTCCTCTCTTCACCGAGCCCACTTTGAGCTCACAGGGGTAGCTAGGGTCCCGAAGGTGACAGTCTAAGAACTCAGGAACACTGAAATCCAGGTATATCCTTTGACCTCTTTATAACCTGAAAATATGACCAATTCCAGGGCTTGGGCTGGGGACTGAAGAGGAATCCATTTGTAACATATTTTCTTAGAATTCTAAGAAAATCTTTTTGCACAAAATGCTTCAAAAACCAGGACAAGTTAGCTCTAATTCTGTAGTATACAGTTCAAAAACCGTCCATCCATGCTGAGAAGGTTCAAGAGACAAGAATTCTTCAAAAGGCCCCCTTATCAACAGGGGAAGTTTGCACTGGGAACTGCCCCATTTAACAGCGTGCTCAGCTTCTCTGATACTGCGAGGATAAAGAAGAGCACGCGGTGTCACAGCGCGAGGCCTGACATCCTGTTTGACTTTGCCCTGGCCCCCTTCCTTGGCTGTTCAAAGTTTTTCTTCCTTTCTCTATTTCTTTACGGATGAAAAACTAACAAGACCTGCCTCCAGCCACCATTTCTGCAGATTTCTTATCAATCTCACCCAGGGAGATGATGAACCTTACCATGGAGGGCAACGACATGAATGTCAGAAGTCCCTTGATGTAAAAATATTCTATCAGAATAAAATTGATCCAGGAAATACTACCTGTTTTCCAAACCCTGTTTTGAAATGGCTCCTGAAGTAAGTTTTGTTGTAATAATAGTGGCAAACTTTTATGTAGAGATGAGACCTAAGACACAAAGAGGTTAAGAAACTTGCTGCTACTACTACTACTACTACTATTACTATTATTATTATATTTTTTTGAGACAGGCTCTTGCTATGTTGCCTAGGCTGGCCTCCAACTCCTGGGTTCAAGAGATCCTTTTGCCTCAGGTTTCTGAGCAACTGGGACTATAGGTGCCACTGTGCCTAGCTCCTGCCATTACAACCATTATTACTTAACAGCCCCATGTAGTGAGCATCTCTGTGCTTGTCGTGGCGTTGGATTGCTTCTCTCTGTGGCATCTATCAGCAGCAACAAGTCTCCCTGGAAACAAAGAAGGACTCAGAGAGTGCCACAGTGCTGCCCTCACATGCCAGTCACCAGGACCTTGTGCACTTACACATGCTACCGCATCAGCCACAACACCAGCTTCCTGAACATGGCCTTTTGTCCCCCAGCCACCAGATGTCGCTTTGACTCTAATGGAAGATTCTTCTCCAAAACAGCAGCTGTGGCTTCAACCAAAATCTTTCCAAATCTGAACTCCATCCAATCGAACAAAAATTTATTTGAAAGCCAAACTTCACATTAGGAGACTGGAGATGTGGCTCAAGCGGTAGCGCGCTCGCCTGGCATGCCTGCGGCCCGGGTTCAATCCTCAGCACCACATACAAACAAAGATGTTGTGTCCGCCGAAAACTAAAAAAAAAAATAAATATAAAATTCTCTCTCTTTAAAAAAAAAAAAAACAACAAACTTCACATTAGGTACTATGAAGCATTGAGAAAAAGAATAAGTGATGCTTCTTAACATCAGGTTCCCAAGGAGAAGAGACACCAGAAAGCTGAAAAGCAATGCATTATTGAAAGATTAATCAAAGGAACATTCTGGATACAATTGCTCTAGTCCAGACTAGAACACAGGTTCATCAGAGGGCAGATGTTTGATTGAATATGATCGATTGGGTTCGGGGAGTAGAACATTCTAGAAAATGGTGTCAGCAAAATCACAAAGGAAAGATCATGGCAAAAAAAAAAAAAAAAAAAAACAGGTTCCAAAGACACAGGTGAGGATGAAGTCCTGAGTTGCTGGATTAGCTCCTGCTGCTCGCTCTCTCCTCTGATAACCCAGCTGGTGTTCCCTGTCTCTGTCATGTGTCCTTTCTTATTACCCTTTGCGTTCCAGGCTTATAACTTTTGAGTGTAGGGTCAGTGAGTGACAGTAGTCACATGGGAAATCAAAAGATGGGGTGGCTTCACAGGAAGGCAGAAGGAGGTAGCAACTTGTTTGTAGCAAGGGAAGTTTGAGGTGACAGCAAGACCTTCACATGGGGATGCGTATCAGTCTAAACAGCAGGTGACTGAGCCGTGTCCGCTCTGTACCGGAACAGCTGGAGAAGGCCATCTATCATGCAGCAGGAACAGCAGATATAAAACGTACAGTGTTAAATAAGAAATTAGAATTTTGACTATTTTGGGGTAAGAAGTAAGATTTAAATATTTATATTTGATGACTTAGTCCATCCTCTGTTGCTACCATGGAATACCTAAGACTGGATAATTTATACAGAATAGAGGTTTATTTGAAGTCACAGTTCTGGCAGCTGGGACGTCTAGGAGCATGGCTCTGGCATCTGCATGGCTTCTGGTGAGGGCCTTGGGCTGCTCTGACTCATGGAGGAAAACCAAAGGGCAGAAGCAAGGAAGCAGGAAGGTGAACTTGGTTTCTGACAAGCCTCTCTAGATAACTAACGCAGGCCTGCGAGAATGAGAAAGGCATGGATCCCCTTGAACGACCTGATCACCTCTTCAAGATGCCACCTCCCAACACAGTGAGGAGTTAGGGTGCCAGCACATGAACGTTGGGGGTACCCTCAAACCACAGCAAAATCTATACAGACCACAGCTGAAGCCAACTAACAAACTGTGCTGCGTGATGGGAAGAAATTAAGAATGTGTATGATACCATCCCCCAGGATCTTGCAGTTGAGCTGAAGAGATGAGGCTATGCACAGAGGAGGTCAGTGGATGACACGGCCTGATAAGGAAGTTTGCTAGTCAGTTCTCAGGTGCAACAGAAACAGGCTCTTTTTTTTTTTTTTTTTTGGTATTAAAGATTGAACCCAGGGATGTTTAACCAGTGAGCCACATTCCCAGTCCTTTTTTTATTTTTTTTGAGACAGGATCTGCTAAGTTGCTTAGGGCCTCGCTTAGTTGCTGATACTGGCTTTGAACTTGTGATCCTCCTACCCCAGCCTCCCGAGTCACTGGGATTACAGGTGTGCACCACCACGCCCGGATATAAACCAACTCTTTCTAACTGAAGCTCAAAAGGAAGGGATCCAAGTCTCCAAGTCTCATACTAGAAACAAAACCCCAAATCTCAGCTGAGCCCCCCACAACACACCCATACCCAAACTAGACCCAGGACAGTCCCCAACAAGACTGCACTGCCATCCCAGGAACTTTACCCTCTGCCCTTTCACAGAGTCTAACCTACCCTCCATCCCCTCATCCACTCCTAGACCAAAGTCCAGGCAGGTGCACAGATGGGAAGAGGCCACCAGACACGGCCATGCTGTGCCCACAAAAGAGGTTGCAAAATAGCATATCTGGAAATTTCGAATGCTATAGTGGGATGGTTGGTCTATGTCTCTGGAGACTCAAGATGGGGTGGTACCAAACTGCAAGAAGGGGGTCTAGAGTCTAGGAGACAAAAAAAGAATGACAAAACTACCATAGAAAGTATACATATGTTCAGGACTGAGGGTAAGAGCATGTAAGGTTCCGTATGAATTATCACTAAAAAGAGTTTAAAAATAACTGCAAATGACATCATCAGGGAATTATGAACTATTGCTGTTATGTTTTGCATAGGATTAGGTATCCTTATAAGAGAGCTTGAGGGGCTGGGGATTTGGCTCAAGTGGTAGCGCACTCACCTAGCATGTGTGAGGCACTGAGTTCAATTCTCAGCACCCATAGAAACAAAATATATTGTGTCCACCTAAAACTAAAAAAATAAATATTTAAAAAGAGAGAGAGAGAGAGAGAGCTTGAGGGATTCCATCCTCTTAATTTTTTATTTATTTATTTTTGTTTTGCAGTATTGGGAGATTGAATCCAGGGGTGGTCTACCACTAAACTACATCCCCAAACCTTTTTCTTTATGGGCTTATTTCTATTTTGAGACATGCTCTCACTAAATTGCCCAGGATGGCCTCGAACTTGCCATGCTCCTGCCTCAACCTCCGGAATTGCTAATCACAGGCACCATTGCGCCCAAGATGGTTTGAATAATGGAGTCTGCTTTAAAGTTCAAGTTGAGACTTAATCCCCAATGCAACAGTATTAAGCAGGTGGCCTCTGGGAGGTGACTGAGCAATCCTCACGCAGAGGATTAGGTGTCCTTATAAAAGAACTTGAGGGATTCCATCCTCTTAATTATATTTATTTATTTAGCCTGTTGGGAGCATGCTATCACTAGCATAGACCAAGCATGTCTGGGTCTTTCCACAATGTCAGAATTCAACAATGACAGTAAATTCACGTGCTCTCCCATTTTCATAAGTGGCAGTTTACTGAATATTCATGGGTTATCTGGTATCAAAAGTTGGGCAAATGCAAGTTCCAATCTTAATTTCTAATAGTTTTACACTCAAGTCACACATCACACTGTGTGTGTGTGTGTGTGTGTGTGTGTCACAGAAAGACTAAAAAAGGGTTAAGACAGCCACAGGGATTCAGAACTGAGAGGGAAGGCAGAGGGCAGATTCTAACGCAAGGTCCCTGTAGGTGATCAAATAAGATTAGGAACCAATCAAGAGCTTGTTCAACACGCAAGAACTTATTCTAGGCCAAGGTCCAGATGGATGGCAGTTCCAGAATGTCAGCTTGAGATGTCAGCTTGGAGTGGGCCATACAGGGTCGTCACAGGCAGAAGGAACCATGTTCTGCTGAAGCCCAACAGGACAGGAAATCAGAAGTTCATCACTGTGGCAATTTTCCTGGGTAAAGCTCACAACCAGTGACCAGGTGATGGGATCAGGGTGCCACCATGTCCAGTCTGAGGGTGCCCCTCCTTTTACGGGCCTCAGGTGCGTGGGCTGCATCATTCAGTGGTCTGGTTTTTCTGAGATGAATTTGATACACCTGCACACCCATGTGCTTCCGATTAATTCCATCAGTCCACAGGTGGTTACTCTTATTAGCATGGTTAATTCATTCGTCAGTTTGTGCCTTATGGTTGTGCCAGGCAGATGGTGTCATTACTTGTACAAACAAGGTGCACAGTCATTCTGCTTGGGCACTGAAAATGAAGAAGCTTATGGCAAACTACCTTTTGTAAAACGATTGCTTTACAACATGGAGCAATTCAGGTTTAGGCACAGCCTGAAACTGCTTTTCCACAGGTCATGAAGTGACTCAGAGCAGAGCACAGCCTGCCCTCCACATAGCCCCTTTGGTTTCATTCAACATGTGAGGAAACAGGGAAGAAGCCACCATCTTGGAAAACAGCATCTCTTATACATCAAACCAGCTGATCTTGGACTTTCCACCCCCCAGAATTTTGAGAAATAAATTGCTGTTCTTTATAAACCACTCAGTTGGAGGCATCTTATTAGAGTAGCACATATTGACTCAGGTAATGACTTAAAGAATGAACCCAAAGTGGGTTCAAAGGGCATCAAAAGAGGGGAAAATGCAGATCCTAGGCTCAAAGGATGCCGGGCTTCTGAAACCAGCTGAGCCATCCTTCCAAACGCTACAGGAACCATTCTACAGCCACATGAGGGACGGCAAGGGGAGCTGTCAGTGTGGTTTGGGGGATGACAGTACAAACACCCTCCGGAGCTATGCAGGAGAATCTCACCTCTTCCAGGTATTCTGAGGGAGTCACCAAGCCTCCAGGCTCATCCCGGAGTCCTCTCCCTGCTTCCCCACTTGGATGCTGGTGGGCCCATCACAGGCATCTCTCTTGATTTGCCCCTCCCCGTTTCATCCTTGCACCTGGGTTCCCAAAACGGCCTCTTCAATGATCTTCCAGCCTTCCATTTTGTCCTTTCAAATTGTCCCACACATTACTATGTGATTAATGTCCTTAACACTGCTTTCACCAAGTGATTCATCAGCTCAGACACCATAATGACTCTGCACCCATCTGCCCACTGCAGCAAGTCAACTCATCTCCGCACACCAGCTCTATTAACTCATAGGTTCACTAACAATGAAGAAACCCAGTCCACCATTTTCTAACTCGTCTCAGCCACTTAAATTCTGTTATTCCACATGAGCAAAATCTTCTAACAGTTCCCTCATTAATCTTATCTTTTTTGCAATTAGACATGTCTCACTGAGTCAAGGAACTCTAGAAAGTATCAGCTATCCAAGGAATATGGAGCTGATGTCTCTAGAGTTTCCCAATGTGGGCAGGTGCTGCCTCTTCACCTCGCTCCCTATATGTAGCCACCTTCTCTCTCTCAGGGACACACTTCTGTTCATTTGTTTTGCTTTCTGTCCTTTTCCTTATTTCAACTCCATCATGATTCACCCTTTCTGATTCTAACAACTTGCTTCATTGATCTTATGCTTTACCTAATAAGTAATGCCAGGATCATTCAGTCAACTCTCTGGGCCATCACCAAGATCTCCTTGGTATATACCACCTGCCTTAGATTAGGCTATTAGCAAGCAATAAAGGATAGACAGAGGAGGAAGGGAAATGAAAAAGAAAAGAATAAAAAATGAAACAAGTTGAGAGGGGGAAATAATAGCTACTATTATCAAGTATTTACAATGTGGCAAATATTTTCTATATCTTATCTTTATCCTCAAAATCACCTTCCAAGATTTCCCACCACTTTCTTAGTTTTCAAAACAAGAAGATAGAGGGTTCAATGACTCCCTTGAGGCCATACGTTTTAGTAGGGGTTAGAGACAAGCTTCCACACCAGGTGAACTAGGCCTTCCCTCTTGTCACCAGAACATCTGACCTCTAGTTACTTCTAGTGCACAGATTCTCTATATTCATCATTCACCAACAATGTAGTAATCGCCTCAATTATCAGGTAGACTGTGACAGTACTGCCTTGTGTTCAAGTAATCTGTATTTTTTTTAATAACTGCTCTAAAGTGCAAAAGTAGCAATTTTATTACAGCATGCTTTTATACCCACTTTATTAGTAACAATTGTTGTTAACAAAGAACAAGAAAAATGAAGACATAAGATTTTACCAAAAAGTGCTTCAAAGGCTATTCAAAAAATAATAACATAGGCCAGGCACGGAGGCACATGCCTATAATCCCAGCAGCTTGAGAGGTAGAGGCAGGCGGATCATGAGTTCAAAGCCAGCCTCAGCAACTTAGCAAGACCCTAAGCAACTCATCAAGACCCTGTCTCTAAATAAAATATTTAAAAGGGTTGGGAATGTGACTCAGTGGTTAAGCACCCTTGGGTTTAATCCCCAGTACCAAAAGATAAAAATAAAGTAATAATAATAAAACATCAATTGTTGCTAACAAGAAGCTAGAGATAGATATAGTAGTTCCCTTTATCCATAGTTTCTGTGGTTTCAATTTCCTGCAATCAACTATAGTCCAAAATTATTAATAGATATTTTCTAGAAATAAGCAATTTATAAATTCTTAAAATTGCACACCATTCTGATGCAATCTAGCTCCACCCCAAATCTATCTCTTTGTCCAGTGTATTCACATTGAATAAGCTACCCACCCATCAGCCACTTAATAGCTGATAGACTGTGGCAGTACTGCAAAGCTTGGGTTCAAGTAACCTATATCTTATTGAATAACTGCTCCAAAGCATAAGCATAGTGGCAATTTTATTACAGTATATTGTTATAATCGCCCCCCTTTTTGTATAAGGGGTGCTTTACCACTGAGCTACATCCCAAATCCTTTTTATTTTTTTGAGACAGAGTCTTGCTAAGTTACTTAGGGTCTCACCAAGTTGCTGAGGCTGACCTCAAATCTGGGATACTCCTGCCTCAGCCTCCAGGATTGCTGGGATTACAGAAGTATGCCACCATACCCAGCTGTTCCCCTTTCTGTTATTATTATTAATCGTTTACTGTGCCTAATTGTAAACTGAACTTTATCATAGGTAGGTATGTATGTATGTGTAGGAATAAAACATACTTTATATAGGGTCTGGAATTGTCTAAGCTTTCAGTAATCCACTGGGGTCTTGAAATGCAACCCCCTGAGAATAATGGGGACTATAATTATTAATTTTTCAACCTAACAAAATATAAGTTTTCTCTTAAATTCATACTCCTTCACTTTACTACACACACACACACACACACACACACACCACTGAAGGCTTACATTACAATTTACATTTTTACACCTACTTGTTTAGTTCTGACCCACGCTATCCTTTTAAGATTCTTTTTCTCTCCCCCTTTTCCTTACATCCCTTTTATACCAGCCCTTCCCTTTTCTTTTCTCACTCCTCTGGCTTCCTATATATTTCTCTTTAATAGACTGTTGTTCTAGTAGATTCTCAATACATACTTGAGCTCCATACTTTCCTCATGCCCCCCACTACCCCTTTGTATTCCTCTTTTCCATATAATTTCTCCTCTCCTCATCTAATTCCCTCTTAACTGCCTGCCTCCCTCCCATTAGCCCTCCCTGCTCCCTCAAAAACCCCAAAGACACCTCTCACCCCTTTTCCCGCCTTTTTCCCCCAAGGCTCCAAAGCTCGAGGACCTCATTGTCCTCTTCCCCCCATCCTCCAACCCACCCACAAGATAGCCTTGTTACCATGACGACTGAGCTTCTCAAAGCTGAAGTCAAGGACCTGGTTGCCATGGCTTCCGCTTCTCCGCCTCCAGCCCCGCCCGCGCGCCCCGCAGCATTGGCGCCTGCGCAGTGCGCCGTGAGATGGGTCTCCGCGTTGGGGCGGGACGGGGCGGGGCTTTGGCGGAGAGGGAGGGAGGGAAGGAAGAGAAAGGATAGAAAGGGAGTGGAGCTGGCACCTACGGTGGCCGAAGAGGGACGCGCCGAGCCGGAGGCTGCAGGATGGTAGGCTGTGCGAAGAGGGAGGGGAGGGGGGAACCGAGGGGCGTGGGCTGCACCTGCGGGGGTCCTTGGGGGCCGCCCTCGTTGGGAGCCGCTCTTTCCTCCCTCTGGTCCTCCGAGGACCCACTTCTCTGAGCGGGTGGGCGACCCGGCCTGGGGAGGAAGAGCTGGAAATGGCACTCGGGAGAGGGGCGGGGAGGGGGCGCGTTTGTGCGACGAGAGGGGACAGTCTAGGGGCGACGGGACCGTCCCAAGCCGGCAGAAGCTCTCAGGGCTCGGAGTTCGGTCCAGGGAGCCCCGACCCCGGCCGCAGGGAAGCACCCGAAGGCGAGGGGCGAGGGGTCTGTTCGCGGAGGGAGCTAGCGGGGGTCTCGGGTCACCAGAACGCTCTCCCCCTGAGGCCCAGACAGGATGGGACCCGCGAGAAAGCGGGCTGTGGGAGGGCGTTGTTTCCGGGTCCCGGCGTGTACGTCCCACCTCGGTTCCCGGCCATGCGCGCCCAGGCTGGGCTGGGTGGGGAGGCGAGTGGGCTGGAGGGTTGGTGCTGGGGACCCAGGTTTGAGGATCCCCGGCTCCAGTGCCTCTGGTTCTCCGCCCCCCATTCTGTTCTCTTTCCGGAACCCAGGCCTTCCGTCTTCCTGCTGGCTCCCCACCCCATGTTTTGGCTGCCCGGGAGCTCCGTGGGGCCCCTCGGTTCTCCCCC